TATATAAACTTTTGTATGCGATATTCAAGACCTACAAGTTTTATAAGGCTCGCATTTGAACAGCCGTAGACTATCACAAAGAAGAATGGCAGCTCGAGTCTAGCCTTAGAGTATTTCCTAGTCGGTCACTCCCGACTAGAGCACTGCTACTTGTTATTTAATATTGTTTTCTGCGTGTGCTTAGATTTTTCAATGAATTTTCTTAGCAAATAATTTAATTTCTCTCTCTGAAAAGCAACAGAGATATTATTAGCTTTGACTTGAAAAATAGAACAACAATTTGTTCTATTTTTGAAATGAAGCACATTCAAGCCCAAATTGAAATATTTGCGTCATCTATCATCTATTGATGCGAATTAAGACAAAATGCCATCAAAGACATGTCGAATATTAAATACTCTTGCTCTACTTTTAAGCAGAAGAGAATCTCCGGAAGGAGCAGAAATCTTGTATATAGCTCACAGATAATTCTGATAAGCAATAAATATAAAAATATATTATAAGTATATATATATACTGCTTTAAAAATAAGCATAAAGCAATGTTAACTAAAGTTATATTTTTTGTAAAAATCCCCTTAATAAATTTATTATACCTTTTTCATTAGTAGCAGCTGCTCGTGTTGTTATTTCTTCGAATATGAAAACTAAGTTAGCGAAACTTGTTCATAAATATGGCTTAAAAAGTGAAATGCCTTAAATAAAAGTCAAAGCCAATTTATATAATTGTTTTTAGTATCTTTTGCAGCTGCTGCCGCTGCCGCTGCCGCTGCGTGTGGCAAGTAGCAAGAGGCAAGCGGCAAGTGGCAAGTAGCAAGTGCAAATTTGCTGAGGGCGCACAATGAATCCAATAAAGAAATTACGCCAGACAGCGCTGCTGCCAAGGACAACGCCTCGCTCAAATGTAATGCCAGCTAAAAGAATAAGAAGAAGCAGCGCCTTTTTTCTCAAATGTTTGTTGTTGTTGTTGTTGCTTGTGTTGTTGTTGCTTGTGTTGATGTCGCCAATTGTTTGGCTTTAATATAATGAGCTGAATATAAAGTACGTCTGATGGCAGGCCACAAAAATTGTTTATTCTTAGACGTCGCATGAATAATTTAAAAAGATATCGTTAACGGGCTGTATGTGTGTGTGTGTGATGTCATGGTATGTGCGTGTGTGTGTGTGTGTGTGTGTGAAAATTAGTGTGTGCCCGTTAATGGATGCTGAGGGTCATTAAACGTTTGATTTGGCAGCTTTGACCTAGCCCTAAACACATAAACATCACATGCATTCAACTGACTGAGGAAGGAAGGAAGACTGCGTCCTGCCACCTGCCACCTGCCACATGCCACATGCCATCTGCCACCTGCTACGTGCTGATATAAAGAAAAAACTTGTTGGCAAAATAAACTTTTGTTCTACAGGCGCAAGGTTGGGACTGTTGGTGAGAGGGGGCGTCGTCCTGGCATTTTTTGCTGACTTTAGCCAAATTGACACAGATCGAATAACTGTCCCGAATGCCTGCAACACTTTGTGGCAGCTGTAAAACTCTTTGGAAGAATAAATAAAAAATTTATGGAAAATTGGCAACAACAAAAATGCCTAAATTCCAACGAAATTTCTAATGAAAATATTTGCTGATATGTTGTCTATAATGTGCGCACATTCAGAATTGCTAACTAGAGTCTAGAATATTTAATGAATACAAATTTCTAACTAAAGATTATTTAGACCAAAGTTGACGGGCAAATAAATATGCAATCGAATACGCCCTGGAACTGAGCACGAAGTTTGGAGATCGAACCACCGTGAAGAGTGAAGACAAAATAGAAAAAAGAATGCGAAATGTTTGTTTTTTAAGGTCTTCTACGATTGAGATATAATAAAATATTTTATACAAAAACTCGATTTTCGAGTAATTGTTTCTCTGAAACTGACAGACTTATTAGACGTGGCTGTTAATATCAACTTTTACTACAAAATTCGATTAACTGGAACTGAGCACGAAGTTAAGAGATCGAAATATAAAAAAGAATGAGATCTGTAAAGGAAGCGTATCTATAGCCGATTGTTCCTAATTCTTCGACGATTGAGAAATAATTCAACATTTTATGCAAAAATTCAATTTTCCACTATAATTTCTCTGAAACTGAAAGACTAATTGGCATATAGGTTGAACAGCGGACGTAGCCTTTAATATTACGTTTTACTACAAAATGCGAATACTCTCTGTAGGTTGAACATCTCTGATTTGCCTCTCTCTAAGTGGCGCATCCTTTACTTTAATCATAGCCTGTGCATTTTATCTGCGCCATTTCTTACATAAGCGACGCCCACTTAAATTGTTGGCAATCAGGGCGTGGCCATAAAGTGTGCTATTGAGTGCAGTTGCTGCCTGTCGCCTTGTTGTTGTTTTGTTGTTGCAACTTTAATTGTGCAACATTTTGAGCGAAAGTTTTTCATCAATTTTCAGTTTGCACTTAACCAAAAACACGCAACAACTGCAAAAATCTCAAATGCAAAACTGTGCCACTTATGGGGCATATTTTATGCGACTGGCTGTTGTGTTGTTGCTGTATTTGTTGTTGTTGCAAGCTGCTGTTGCAAGCAGTTGTAACAAGAACAACAGCTCAACGGCGCGCACATCAATAAAACGAAAATTGCAGCGAAAATGGCGCGCAATTGTCGCAGTGGAGGAGTGACAGAGAGGGGAAAGTGGGGGGTAGATGGGTGCATGCAGCATGCAGCCTGTTTGCCTGCCAATGGGCGTGGCGGTGCCACAACGGCGGCGGCTGCTGCGCTGCGCTCAGTAAAAACAATCGAAATTATAGCAAACAAGCGCGTAAACTTTACGCTTTCACTGCGCCGATGTGTGTGTGTGTGCGGTGTGTGTGTGTGTGTGTGTCAACACACGCCTGGCTGCAGTTTTATTGGTTTAGTTGTTGTTGTTGCGGCTGCTGCGGTGGTTGCCACTCGACAGCGTCATTTAAATTGCTCGACAAAAAGCGACGCGCAACTCTGCCAGCCTAATGCCAATACACACACACACACATACACATATTTAGATTTCACATGTTTGCATGTGTGCTTTTGTATTTTTTTAGCTGCGCTTTATTGTTGTCTCTTTTGCTGTTGCTGGCGCGCAAATTCTCTCGTTTGCGTGCAAATTTTCGTAGCATACTTTTTAGGGCCAGCCACAACAAAATGTGTGTCAACAAAAGTCGCTGGTTGCCGTTGCTGTTGTTGTTGTTGTTGTTGTTGTTTGTTATTAGTTGTTTTTGTTCTTTGTTTGCTTTTGTTGTTGGCTCTGATCATTGCCAGCCGCATAAATGCGAACGAATGCAGCCTCGCCTCTATATAGACCAAATCTAATGTGCGCTTTTTTTTTAAGTGCGTCCACGCAGACAAAACTGCAATTAGCTGCCGGAGCCTGTTTTGATAACACAAAACCCCCCTCCCCTCCCCCTTTCGACCAGCACCCCTCTGCTCTCAACCTTTTTAAACGGCATTTACACAACCCGTTTGATGTGTGTATTTTGGGTCGCCAAGCAGTATTATTTGTGTGGCCATAATTACATGTAAATTATGACCACATGTACAAAACGTTTGCTTCATTTTATGCGGTTAATTGGGCCGCAGCCCCTACCCCTGCTCCCCCTCTCCCCCTCTCCCTCTCTCCCTCTCTCTCTCTCAGTGCGGCCTCTCGCCTTTCTAATCGAAAACCTTTTTTAAGCAAATGTGTTTCCAAGTAATTTCTTTTACAAAACACACACAATCATTGACTTTAGCAGTCAGATATACACACACACACACACACATATGTTTCTCGTGCACACAAACATGCATGTGTAAATGGCTTGTTGTCTAGGGTAGGGGCAGGTATAGGGGGCAGGGGCAGGGGGAGGATGGCTCAGCTCATTAACGTACACGAAATCAAGCAGCATGGAAAAACGCAACCTTTTGTAATACTAATTAATACGAAAATAACATGTGCCCGCCGCGCCAACAGCTATATGACCCGATTCCAATAAAAAAAAATAAGGTGTGCACGACACTTAAATACCCTATATTAAGAGTGCACAAAAAAAACGTATAATACCCTCTATTAACACAAACCTAAAACATATGGTGTATAAGTCGAAAAATATAACTTTTCTTTATAACTCCCGGGAAACTAAACTTCATCACATTTCTATGAAACAGCCCAAAGAGTAGATGAATCCAATTTCCTTTGCATATCTCAATAATTGGATGCATTTATATGATAGCTTGTATTTTCAAATATTTGTAAAATTTGCATATTATCCCTAGTAACTCGTGTGCCTAATCTGGGATAGATCAGACACCTAGCTCCAGAATATGCCTAAAAAACCTAAAGCCCTTGCTTGTAATATATGAATAAAACACAACCTTAGGGATAATGTGCCTAGGTGTTCATGTACTATATATCATCTCCAAATATTCTCATTATTAGGTACAGTTAAAGGTTATACCTTTAAAGGTATTAAGTGCAGAATATATGAAAGAAGAAGAAGGTTACTCCTTCTGATAAATATAATATTTAAATGCGTAATTGTAAAGTGCATGCAACCTCATGGTATATGCTTTGTAGGGTATATGACAGAAATCGAAGAGCTTTAATACATTCTCCCCTAATTATTTGGTATATCAATTTCATATTAGATGCGTAATAGACTTTCTACGCTGTGATTATGTGACTAACAAGTGCATGCAACCCATGCAACCCCTCTTGGTTCGCAGGGCATGTGAGCAAGAAGAATACGTAGATGGGTTGTCAATTTGCGTCTCGTGCCGAGCTTTCACTTGACGCAGCCAATTTGTGAAATGTGTCCACATTGCGTTTTCATTGTATTAAAAATTCCATTAGCTGCAAATTGTGCGCATTAATTAAGGCCACAACAGCTGATGGGATATTGTCCAACTGGAGCTCAGCTCCACGAGAAAAAAAAATTTTGTAAAAAAAAAAGAGAAGAAAATTTCTTGATTTCCGCAACTTACCGAAAATGCGTCCAGCTTCGATAGATGGCATTGTTGTTGTCAAAAGCAACACAAAGCCATAAATAATGAGTCCAAGATGATTTCTCGATTTGGCCGATATGCGCAGCGTCATTTTGTGGGCGTGGTTCTGGTTCTTGTTGCTGTCGCTGCAATTGATTTCCTACGTTCCTTTAAAGCAATTGTTTTGCGGTGGTTTACGTTACGTTTTTTTCACTTGATTTTTCTGGTTTCTGGTTTCTGGTTTTTGGTATTTGGTTTCGATTTTAATTTTCACCCTTTGGCCATAAAATTGAATTATATTTTTGTTTACTTTTGCTGGCCGATTTCTTACACGTTTGCCTTTATCTTGCTTTTGTTTATTTTAAGTATTTTTTATATGCTTTTTACCTTTCGATTTTTGGTTGCTTCTGTTGAGTTTGAACCTTAGGTAATCATTTTGTTAGAGCTGTAAAATAGGCAGAAGAGAAAATGAATACCGATTATTGGATTAGTTCAAGAAATTACCCGGCCTTGCCAGGTTCAAATGGATAAGGTTGAAAATGCAAGTGGTAAGAAAATTTCCTGTTTCATTTGCGGCAACTTCGGACAGCTCAGCACTCTTCTGAAGTAAACAAAATGCATATGCCCTTTCGCTAAGCAAACATCCAAAGCAAAAGAACAATTTTAATTATTATTATTAATAAATATTCCTCACTTCTTTGTTTCTGTTATTATTATAATTGCTATTAATGTGTGTACAATAATTTAGAAAAAATGAAGAGATCAATAAAAATATTGAAAACTGCTGCTCGATTTGAACCGGCGACCTCTAGCTTGCCAGTTCGAAGCGTCACATTTATACGACTGTTTCAATGTTTTCGTATTTTTTTTGAGCTCCCTTTTCCCTTACATGTTGGTCGAATTTTCCAAGCCCCGTTTAAGTGCTCACTTTTGAACCAAAGGAAAGCTTTTGTCAGGACAAACTCCTTTAAATATATAGTCACTCTTGTGGATTTACAGTCTTATAGGCTATTTTTTCCGTAGCATGTCTTTGAAACCAAAAATTAGTATTTAGTGCTTCGGCTTACAGATCGAACCAATATTTTGCCCATATTGGAAATGGTTCGGTTCGGGCTCAGCTTCAGCCTGTTTTTTACTGCAGGCTGCGGTTCGGGGTGAAAAACTAGAAGTTTGAGTTTCCCGCAGTTTTGGCTTGAACCTGTTTGCAGCCTTGCCGTCAATAAATTATATTGCAAAGTGCCAAAGAGAACTGCAAATGCAGCAACAAAAACTTGTTTCCAACAGCGACTGTCCTTTTGGCGCTGCGGCTGGCAAAATTAACCAAAAGATGTCAAGTTGAAGCAGCAGGGAACATAAACATAACCCAAGCACACACACACACAGAGAGACAAAAAGAGCGCCACATGTGTGTGTGTGTGTGTGTGTGTGTAGTGGGGAAGGGGGTATAAAAGTTATATGTGCAAAATGAATTTGGCTTTTTTATAACAAGAACTCGGCGCACTCGGAAGTCTGACAACATAAAATGAAGTGAAATCTCTGCTGGTGGTGCCCAGTGAACTGTTTGTGGGCTGTGCGGGCTGCGAGGGGGGGCGGGGGGGGGGGGGCATGCAACTGTCGGTTGCAACAGCATAAAAGCAGCGTAGATGCGCCAACATAAAAGTGAAATTCACAGCAACAGCAACAACAACGACAACATTTAACTGAGGGTTGCACATTTAATGCGGCAACAGTTACAACATGTGGCAACAAATGGCGCCCGTTGTTGTTGTTGTTGCTGTTGTTGTTGCTGTTGTTGTTGCTGTTGTTGTTGCTGCTGTTTAAGCAACTTGGCGTGTTGCCTTTTGACTATAAAAACTGCAAACTGAGCAGTAAGCGCCTTAAAGCTGCCACTTTGATGCGCCATGCCACACACAGCGGCAGCGGCAGCGGCAGCAGCAGCAACAAAACTTAACTGCAACACATGCCACACACACACACACACACACACACACGTAAATGTTGTGGCTGCTTTTAAAAACTTTCGTTTTAATGTTTGCACAGCTACAAAACTGAAATGAAAGTTTTTGCCGCACCTTTTAATTCTCCGCCCCCGCCCCCCGCCCCCTGCCGCCATTTGGGGCACGCTGTGCTCATTGATACTGATACAACTGAGTCCCAGTTTTGGGCTCTATTTAATTATTAAAAATTTCGACTCTCCACTTTTCACCTGAACTCGCAACGAGTTCAAGGCTCTCTCTCTCTCTCTCTCTCTTTCTCGCCTCTTATCATTGTATAGGCGACCCCGTAGACCCAGCCCGATGTTTCTGTCTCTTTGCACATGTGCCCCAGTTTGTTGGCCAGCTCCATTGCCACTTTCTGTGTAGCCACATTCCTCTTCCAATTAAAGCACAGCTCGTCATTTCATTTTGCCGCTCGGAGCTCAAACAATGTGCAGCCAACTCCAGCAATTAATTAATTCAGAGATGTGCGTTAACAAAAGCTGAAGTGCTTGACTATATTTTCTTCAAAGCTTCGTTTTACTCTGAGATATCACTTGACCGTAAAGAAAGAGAGAGAGTTAACATATTATAATAGAGAAATAAGTGCATGGGCTGCTTAGGCAGACAGCTGGACAACAAAGTTCAATTCCAGAAGCAATTGCCAGAATTTGCAAAAAAATAAATCTAACAATTAAGTGGCACTAGTCGGGATTTCATCACTAGGGCATACTCTGAACCCTCTTTCTAGAAAAAAAAACTTGACCTATTCTAGAAGCTTATTGACTCTAGCTCCCAAGAGTTCAAAAACAGCAGTTCGATATCGATATTTATCGTTTGTTTGGAATCGAGTCACTTTTCGATTGTCGGAAACAAACTTGTTATGACAAAATGTAAAGATTTTGAGACTCTTGCAGACGCACAGACGGAAAAATATAAGGATATGGCTAGATCGACTAACGCTGATGAAGATTATATATACACTTTAAGAGGTCGGAGATGCTTCACTCTGCCTGTTACATACATTTGCACAGATATATTATACACTTTTGTACCCATTTCAATAGGTTTAGGATAAAATAATAGAAGTGGAATATGAATAGATGTTAGCAATATATTTAAATATAAAATATATATTAAAAAAGGTTATTTTATTTTGTTTGCTTTTTCAACTAAAATGCAGTTAAATTGTATTCCCTGGCAAACGTCACTTGAGCTGGCGGTAAGCTGAGCGTCGACACTCTGAGCACGAACTTAGGGGATTTAAGATACTTTTGTTAATCTAAAATAGAAAATATTTTGTTGTATTTAGTAATTAAAACATTTGGCAGGCTGATAGCGACTAAAGAGTGAAGCTGCAGCTCCTATCGAATTGTGTTAAGAATTATGCGATAACTAAGAGAAGAGTGTTGCACAACGGAGGAAGATCTTAAAGATAGTTCTTATTTATTTATCGATACATTTATTTATGAGCTAAAAAATTATATTACCCAATAATAAAGATAACTAAACAGAAAACATGAAACTTAAAGGAAATGCAAAATTATTAGTTTAAAAGAAAGAATTCTTTCAGTTTATGTTTAATCAAGGTAGTATTCGCAGAAAAATCGACTACAATTTCACTTAGGAGACTATTATAAAGATAATAATAATGTTATATTCATAGAACTTTGAAAACTTTGAACTATGACGGCTCCCACAAAGCAATGTGTTTTCCAAATCCCAGCATATCCTAATGTTAGACAAAACTCTATATTGTATTTGGGTATTTTTACATCGGGAAGAAATGGCTTATTTGACTTTGTATAATCAGCTAAAATTTACAACTTTCTTGCTTTTTTAGAACTCTGTTGTGGCCTTCAAATTTATACTTAGTTTGCGCAAATCGCATTCAATTCATTCCAGAGATAGAACATTTGGTTAATGGACTTTCAAATTTGCGAAATTTCATTTTGTTACGAGTTGAATCTTTTTGGAAACTATGAAATGAAGAATTTTTGAAAGAGTACAACAAATGGGATTTTCTTTTAAGCACAGAAATCGCAGACGGACCAGAAATGAAAAACCCAAGAGCAGAAAAATTGCCCAGCTCGAAAGGAGAAAGATTTGAAATTTGCATCAAATTCATTACTTTTTTTCTTTTAATTTCAGATTCTTAAAACTTTGAGTTGGGCCTTTCAGTTCTGTTTTTTGTAGATTAAAAGTTGCACTTGAAAGCGGGCAACTTTCATCTAATAAATTCCTTTTGCCAAACTGGTTAACTTTCGAAATGAACCAAGTTTTGCTGGCTAAACAAATTGTTGTTCCACACGTAGTTTTATATATACACAATTTTTTTTTTTATTTTTATTTTTTTTTAGCCCTTTCTGTTGTTGCTGCTGCTGTCTGCACGTAGCTGGTAATTAAAGTTATTTTGCATATTACAAGCTCTCCGTTCTATATGAGGAACAAAAAAATAAAGAAAATCATGTACGATGCAATTTCTGGCTCTCAACGGGCAACACCAAGCACACACACACACTCGCACACACATGTATACACACACAGTTTTTGTAAATAAGTTTTTGTGGCTGTGCTGGACTTGGGTCTGCCACAAGCATGCACAAATTTGTATAAAGAAGTATGATTGTGGAATTCAACTGGTTTTTATGCCCGTATGCAAATATTTATTTTCGGCTTAAAACAGCCAAACAAAAAAAAAGCACAGTACACCTCATTTTATTGCAATATACCCCGTGCGTGCGTGTGCGGGGCAAGAGGTATTATTTTCTGTTGTTTTTTTTTTTGTATGCAATTGGCAGATTGTGTGCAAATCCTGCTCTACACTTGTTTCCTTTGTCCAAAAGTCATTAAAATGTTGTTGGCTACATGGAATCAGAAGTGCACTGGAATCAGCCCAAAAGCAGGGATTATTCCTTTCGAGTTTTTAGCTTTTAACACACTCGCAAAACACCTGGAAGCGAATTGAAATGCACATACATTTGCTCGAACTGATAACCCGTATTATCCAAAAGCAGTTTAATAAATACGATTATAAATCGAATAGAAATTTAGTTTTAAATGAAAACTTCTTGTTTTCCTGCTAAGCATGGGATTTGTTTGTATGCTCAACAGCTTGAGTCTACTAAATCTAGAACTTTTAATACCTTTGATATTTTATTTTTCAATTTGAATCTGAATTTGACCAGCAATTTATTTTGAAAGCTGTTCGAAGCTCTCACAAATTCGTATATGTATTTGTTTTTCATTTTTAGAATTTATGCACAA